AAAGCTATGTTGCAATTGAATCAGACACACACTAAAGTAAGCAATCCGGTTTGTGTGTCCTCATGCATGAACGCATGAGTGGACGGTATCGTATGCAGTATATAGCGAGCTGTGTATAGTTTAGGGGAAGACTTGTCCTGTGATACCCAACTCTAACTCATTCTCCTAACCAGCAAGCCCTAGTGATACCCCACAACAGCAGGATTGCTGGTGTCCAGATTGATGCCTTTCTTTGCCTGTGTACGGATGCCAGGGATTCAAACTCAGGCCCTCGTGCTTACATAGTAAACACTCTGACCCTCTTAACTACCTCCCCAATTTCCTAAAATATCAAGCAAAAAGTCCTTTAGAAGATATGCATGACATTTATGTTTGAGACATAAATGTCACTCACAGACTTGGATTCAGACTGTTTGTGTCCTCGCTGCGTATATGCAAATGTTTAAAAAAGAATCAACAACTCTGAAAACTAAAACGCTTCTGGTCCTGGTTGTTTTAATGCTGGATGCTCAGTCCCTGTTGCCAGGCATCCTACTGATTGGCAAGTGTTCAATTCATACTCTCTGTGAGCTAAAAACCTCTTTTCATCTCACTTGAACCTCTTAATTTGAAAGCAATAATTATAAACCACTGCTTCTGTACTTAGCTCAAACATCGTTGATTGTGGCCATCCCTTCTACGGCTATAGCTTTGGAAGAGAATGAGCAGAAAATAATACCTTCCTACTGGCATTTCCTCCATGTGGCTAGGAAAACAGGCACATGATCCTAAGGGCTGCACGCCATAGGCCTTAAAAAACCCGAGGCCTGCACAGGCCGTAATTGTCAAACAGCCTGGCTGACTTTTGACCTGATTTAGCATTTGACGCGAAGCAGCTTGCTGACACTGTCAATGCCATCTCACATAATAGAACACACATCTTGTAACTGAACCATAGACTGTGCTGGGCAGCATAAAGAGCCCAGGAAAGACATGTCTCATATATAAACTGCTCGAAGAACATAGCTACTAAGGCATCTGGAAGAAGGCCTTCAGGGGGCCTCTTTTACATGGAAGCGCCACATTTGAGAGATCTTTAATGCTTTCTTCTCACAGTCTTGCCTTTAAAAGTTTATAACTCTTCAAATCACCGCGTTTAACAACAGCTTACCTCTCTTTCTTTCAATAAAGATTTAGACTAATATCACTGGATATGCTTAGGCCATAGAAACGGAGCATGCCTCGCAAGGATCGGATGAAAGAGACAGACAGCCTTTTTTTGAATAGTGGGTACCATTCTAATCTGAAGCTTGTTCTGCCCTTTCAATCTTAACAGAGAAACAATTAATAAAGGAACCCATTAAGACCTGATTATTGCAGCTAAAAAAAAAAAAAAGAAAAAAGAAAGGGAAGGTAGAATTTCAGTCCTTTGAAGTAACTGAGAATGATTCAGGCCTCATTACAGAGATATAATCTACATTCATACATTTATGTTAGTGATTGAAATCTATTGGGAGAGATTGGATTCCGTTAAATAGCGCATCTTTCCTGGGGAACTTTTCTCAGGCTTTCTGGGGCTAAGCTAAGAGGTGACTTCAGAATACAAAGTGTTGGGGGATTTAGGGATTCCACTGTGCCTCAGAAGAAAGGCAGCACAGAGAAGAAAAAGAAGAATGAGATATAATCTAAAAAGCTATGTCAGCTTTTCCTTTGGGCAGTTTAGTTAATGCCCCTCCCTGCTGTCACGCCGTACAGACAAGAGGCAAAAAGATCTCGGGAACTCTCAAACATTGCACCTGCTTCTGGCAAGTTTTATTAGGAAAGTTTCGAGAATGCCCTTTACCTCACTGTAGGTAGAATTAAAGCCAAACTTTAAGCTAGAAAATCTGAAGAGCTTTGACTGAAAAGAAAGGTGACTGGCGGGTGGGGAGGTGTCGGGAGGAGTGGGGGTGTTGGGTTGAAGGAGTGCCTGGTATGAATTAAAAAAAAAAAAAACACTCCAGTTGGCATCAGAAATGTTAGTATCCAGTGTAAAGAAACCCCAAACTAATTACTTCCTGTGTTTCATAATTTTTTACAAAAGAATCTTTATTGTATGGTTCCATCAAACATATTTTTGTAAATGTAATTTCAATGAGTTGTCAATCCAAACATTTGAATTCTCCTTTCTTTGAGGATGCAACTTAGAAATCCTTAGACTCTCTTAGAAACTGCCTACTCTTTCACTTATTTGTCTGCTCAGGTATAAAATTGTAAATGGGAAATTGAAATTATCACTGTAGGCTCATTTTTCAATATTCATGCTTTAATTAAAGAAGCAAGACTTTGACGCATGCTCTTTATTTGCTTAACTTTTCAATTAATAGCTACAGAAATCAGCTAATCATATTAAAGTTGGAAATCTGCTGTGATGTTCGTCACGTTGTTGAAATCTTTTGAATGAGCATTGCAGTGAGTTATAAATAATGCAATTAAAAATCCCGATTCTGGAATTAAATAGTTCTAATTCAACAGCAGTGAACACACAGAAAAAAAAAAAAAGGAAGAGCATGCCTTCAAGTCATTCTTCAAGTCACTAAAACGTATTTGGGGAATCATTAACAACGTCTATCTCTAGGACTTTTAAATTTCAATTGTCTTTCTCCAGTTCCCAATGAGGACTGAAACCCAGTGCACATGACAGGGTTCCTGACTTTTGTGTGCAAGCTCCTTTTGTACATTCTTTCCGAATCACTACGCCAGTTGCTAACTCTCAAGTTCACCTTGAAACGCCTGCATCTTACTCAGCCATTTAGCTTGAATCATGTGAAATCGCCACACCACCGTATGATATTGACCATTTGTTTTACTTAGCCAGAACACATGTCTAACTGCCTCCCACGACAGAGTAATGTATGTCCATGCAATCCTTCTATCCAGTCGTTCCCTAGTTTAGATATTTTCTTAAGGAAATTATCTTCTGGGACTCAGAACTGTAGCATACTCAGGTAGGAATGGGTTATTACAATAGTTCCTTCTTTGTGCCTTTTGGGTCTGGGCAATAGCTTCCTGGTCTTGTGCTGACTTCTGTCTGTGTCTGGGTTGAGAGCTTATTTCTGAGACTAGAGGTAGAGTTGGGGGTTGGTGTGCTCAAGAGTGTGGAAGACTGGTAGGTAGTGAAGCTGCATTGTAAAAAGCAGAGCCTTTTAAATGCTAAGTTTGAAGATGGGCGGGGACCTCCTCTTTATGGTAAAATGCAAAGGAAATTGCATAGAGAAAAAAACAGGCAGCAGGGGATTTGGTCAAACTGTGTGATAAAATCTGCGATCGCAGGAAAGTGCGTAGGCTTTGAAGTCCATGCGTGATTCTGTAAAGGACTCGTGTTACCAATTAGAAATCAGTAACTTGGGTCCCTGATTTCATTTGCACCAAGAGAGAGGCGATGTTTAAGGGTGACGATAAATCTCCCTGAGCTTAAAAAAGACAGAGAGGGCCAAAGTGTGAACTTTTTACTTCAGCAACGGAAGCAAGAAATCAATGATTCATTAAAACCCGAGACCTCCTTGGAAGCTGGCAGGAGAGGAGGAAACGAAGCTAGCTCATTATGTCTCCCTTCTCGACTTTAGCTCCTATTAGTTTATAATCTACTCTTGGGGAGAGTTTGTCCTGAGCATCCTCTTTTGACTTCTCCCCAGCCCTCTTCCCTGCTTCTGGGATCTAGAAGGCAGAAACACATCCACACACAAAAGCCAAGCTCCAAAGTACTTTCACGGCCAAAAGGGAAAAGAAAGAAAGAAAGAAGGAAGGAAGGAAGGAAAGAAAGAAAGAAAGAAAGAAAGAAAGAAAGAAAGAAAGAAAGAAAGAAAGAAAGAAAGAAAGAAAGAAAGAAAGAAAGAGCGAGAGAAAGAAAGCAAGCTACACTGGAAAACAAATGAGCAAGGGGCTCCCTGTAGGGGAGGGGAGTGGTTCCCGCCGGAGGGCAGCAAAATTCGGAAAGCACGCGGACAGCTCGCGCTGGTGGCCAGCGCTGAGAGCACAGGACGCCGGAGCCGCAATTAGCCGGAGCTGCAGGCTGCGGGGCGGCTGCGCCCACCGAGGCGGCGAGGAAGGGACCCGCAGCCCCTAGCTCAGAGCAAAGGCTTCGCGCACTCCTCTCGCCCAGGCTCTCCCCCCGCCCCCCCGCCCCTTCCCCCCTCCCTTTTCTCTGGCGTTCCCAGCAGCTTAGGGTTTCAGATGTCCCACCGCCGTTTGACCCCCTCCCCCCTTCTCCACCCCTGCAAATGAGGTTTGACCAGCAGAGGCAGAGCCCACCTCTGGCTGAAAAGCACTGACATTTAGACTCCAGGCTTCAACCTGTTTACAAGCGGCTTTCCAAGGGACTTGGAGGTGGAGGGAAGGGCCAAACAAAACACCAGCCGCCAGCCGCCCCCCAAACAAGAAGTGGCTTTCGGGAGACTTCACATCAACAGGCACCACCAAAAAGAGAAAGGAAGGAGAAGAAAACAACAGCGCCTGGGCAGCTGCCTCCAGTTCTGACAACTCCAAAGAGACACACTTTTTAAGTGGCCAGCAGTCTGGGACTCTGCAGAGAAGGACCAGAAGGTGCCAACCGCAGAGGGGCGCAGATGTCTTCCTGCACCCCCACCCCACCCACTTTGGGTTTTGTTCACCGTCCTGTCATCTGTTTTTCAGACCTCTTTTGCATCTAACATGGTGAAGAAAGGAGTGAAGAAGAGAACAAAGTAACCCCCGGGGAGAGCGAAGAGCTCTGGTGACCGACACCACCAGTTACTACTGCCGCGGCCACCCACGTCCACTGTTCACCCTGAGACTGGAGAGACAGAAACGCAGACAGCGGATCCGAGAACGGAGCGAGGACAGGCAGCCGGCCCTTCCGAGGAGTTATGGATGTTGGTGCACTCGCTTCTGGCCAGATCCGTACCCAGAGGGAGCTAACCAGTAGCCACCACCTCCAGCTGTCTCTTTGCCTCGCACCAGGTCTTACCCTTCCAGTATGTTCCTTCTGATGAGACAATTTCCAGTGCCGAGAGTTTCAGTACAATGTGGAAATGGATACTGACACATTGTGCCTCAGCCTTTCCCCACCTGCCGGGCTGCTGTTGCTGCTTCTTGTTGCTCTTCTTGGTGTCTTCCGTCCCTGTCACCTGCCAAGCTCTTGGTCAGGACATGGTGTCACCGGAGGCCACCAACTCCTCTTCCTCCTCCTCCTCTTCCTCCTCCTCCTCGTCCTCTTCCTTCTCCTCTCCTTCCAGTGCGGGGAGGCATGTGCGGAGCTACAATCACCTCCAAGGAGATGTCCGCTGGAGAAAGCTGTTCTCCTTCACCAAGTACTTTCTCAAGATTGAGAAGAACGGCAAGGTCAGCGGGACCAAGAAGGAAAACTGTCCGTACAGTAAGTAACAAATGCGTGCTCCTCTCCTTCCAATTATCCACCCCCACCCCACGCGGGGAGGGGGGGGCAGAATCTGTTCCAGATGTGGCCAGCTAAATATTTATGTCCCCAACCCCTGTAAAATGATGAAGTGGAATACTTTCACACTAAATCAGCCCCCTCCTGAGTATACATTGTACGCGCGGCATTCCCTCCACCGTGTAAGTCTCCTCCACATCCCTTGCAGCCCTATTCCTGATCTCTCTAGTTTGTCACCCACAGGATCACTCCTGGTGCTCTAGAGTTGTTGCTGCTAAGGAGATGCTCCATTCTGTCTCCAATGCCTTCCCCCCCATCTCACCCAGAGGTCTCCTTTCTCTCCCTTCTGGAAATGGCTCAAGTAAACACATTTTGTTTCTTTTCGCTGGCAATCTTAAGAGTTTTGGGACAGACTCCTCAAGCTGAAAATAATTATCCAGTGTCAATTATAGGAGCTTTATGGGAACTTTAAGGAAGAAAAGTCACTTCCACTGTCCCCTGGTCCCCAGCAAAAGCCCCACCACTTCTAGATAGAAGCCAAAGAGTTTATTTTCCCTGGTTTTGATTTTTTTTTCTCCCTCCTTTTGGGTCCTTCATTTCGGTTTGAGTGATTGCAGTCCATGAAGTTAGTTCTTCGGGCAGCACCGCTGCTGTTTGTCTCCTGCCTGCCTTCTCTTGGTAACATGACGCTCATGTCTGCATTGTCAATAGCATATGCGCTGCTTTGTGGTGTCTTGTTGTACTGTTTCTTCTGAAACCTCTCATATTGCAGAGGCATAGTACTACAGCATTGTAAACATCTGGGACTGGATTCACGCAGACCTCACACAAATTTCATTGTCATCCTTTTAGTTTCAAAGTAAAAGCCCAAGTCTGTTTCCAAGGCTATATCCCATAGGGCGAGGTTGGTCTCCCCAGCACACATTCTGCGGGGGATCCTTGGATCTCTTTCTCTCCTTTTTCCTTTCTCTCTGGTCTTTCTTTCCGATCCGTCTTGTGGGGGGTTTGGTAGGTCGGGGGGTGGGGGCTGAAAGGGGAGGAAGAATGGGGAGAGAAGGGGTGGATACCATGTCTCTTCCTGAATCAAGCCAGCCAAGGCAGATTATTCTGTTGGTTTCCTTTCCTGGTTACTTTCAAGTGCTGAGACTTAGTCATCCTCCATTGATTGTTATTTGAAAGAATCCCAAGGCTATATAATGGCACACTGAAGACTGTAGACAATGACATTTAAACATCTTTAATGACCACTTGGCTTTATCTCTTTGGTAAATTCCAAGTCACCTTTCAAGGGGAACTTTTTGTGTTAGTTCTTTGGGAATTCTGAGTATACGTTGGCCAGCAAACTTAAATATGTGAGTCACCCATTTCATAAGTTTTGACTCAGAGTGTATCAGGTCCTCATGACAGTGACAAATGACCAGAACTAAGCTTTTATTTTTCAATCAAGATTACAGGAATTAAGACTTTAAGTTTTCTCCTCGGAGGACTTACAAACATCCAACATTAACTTTTGCCAGTCTTCATTCACTTGCTTTTATCCTAATGGCCTGTTAAAATTAGCAGTGTGTTTATGAGCAATACATTTGCAGAAGCATTTGAAACTAATCTATGTTAAGTTTAGCATTGGAAATACTAAATACCTTATTACACACACACACATGTATCTCATTCTGATGCTTAGAAAGTAGCTAAAATGGTATTAGTAAGGATGATTGACCCTCCTTGAAAGTCTGTCGCCATCTGAGTGCTATAGATCCTATAGATAGCCTTTATGGTTTGATTACCTAATTTAATACTTCTAAAAAAGAATCCGGTGGTGGTACCCAGTTAAAGGAAGAACTAACCTTGGAGTTGCAGGGCATTGTTTTGTTTTTTTTTTAATCCCCATGGGCTGATTTCCTTTAGTTCACATGGAAAACATGAAGAAATGGAATAAAATTTCTAAGTTTTATTCTTTAGGTTACTTTCCTTTTTTGATATTTTGATGATAACTTAATCTTATTGTTGCTTTAAGTGTTGTTTATGGGATGTAATGATCAACCTGCAGCTTTTTAAGTTTATGATACTCGGATGACTATTTTGTAAAATAATGATTCCTGTGTCATGAACTACTTAACAAAATGACTCCCGGAGAACACATTGAGTTTTATTTTTACAATATGAACTATCCCAAATGAGAAAATTATGCAACTTTTATTGCATAAACAAGGGCAGCAAATTTTCACCCTAACATTTTTTTAAAAAAAAAAATAGGCATTATCTTATCCTTTTTTCTTGTGGAATAACATATACTAATTACTAATACTCTCTTTGGAAATTAAAAGTTAAATATATAATATAAGAAGACTGTCTTAATTAATGGTTTAAAAGGGAAGGAGGATGGTAATATTGCTAACTATTGTCAGACCATAACTAACTTAAGCTTTCCAAGAACATGTGTATCAAAGCATAGCAAGTGAAAGATACAGATTGAAGAGGCCTTAATTTCACATATGGCCCAGGAACTAGATGCTGCTATCATCTCCAGCTGGGCTGCTTCAGTTGAAATACATGGTATCATTAAGATATTGGTTATATATTCCATAATTGCACATAAGGGTCATTTGCCACACCCACAGGGTAGCCAGCCAGTCAGCCCACCAAATAGTAGCCAGTTACATGTTAGAATATCTAATCTCCGAAGAGTGTTAGTTCCTTGTCTAAAACCATGTTTCAGTACCATTCTCCTAGAGAAGATATTAATTAGTCTCAGTACACAAAGCTGTTCTTTTGGGGTTTGTTTATTCTAAGACTAATTTTTTGTTGTTGTTGTTACATTTGACACCCCCGTCCCGGTGTCATTGTGGTTAAAATACTATCACAGCTTACCTAAGGGCTTATATGTTTGTGATGCCTTGGATAATTGAACAGCTGTTTCATTGGCTCATAGCCAGCAAAATGCTAACAAAGTGGAAAAAAGGAACTCACAAGTATCGAAAAATGATTTTTTTTAACTTCCCTTCCCCCTCCCCCGCCCTGCAAAGCTAACACCCTGTTTTAAATAGTTCTGAAGTTTCTACACGTGTTAAAGAAACTCTTCTCCAATTGAGTGATTACTATAGCTTTTTTTTTTCTTTGCTCTTTGCTATTGTATGGAAGTAGAGTGAAGAGAGTAGGGGTGAATTATGTTTCTCCTGCTGGAAGACTGAGAAAGCTTGAATAATTGAGAATGGCTATGGTGTGTCTGTCACTAGATATGTGCAGGCTCATCTAGGTTTTGTTTTATCATTCCTTACATCGAGAGCTTTGCCCTTGAAACATTACCACTCAGCTCTAGTTCTGACCTCCTAGAAAGGCTGGATACAGCTGTTAGGTCCCTTTGCAAATGAGACTGGTTGACTTATTTCTGAACATGAGTAAAACAGCTGTGAGTTTCTCCCATGGTTGTCACTTGAAGGAAAGAAGAGTCCAGGAAAAGGAAAATACATCCCGAAACTAGAGACAACTAAATAGAGATTCCCAATACAGAGCCCCAGAGCGTATGGGCCTTTTTGAGAGAAAGAGAAAAAGAGACAGACAAGGAACATATAGTATGCAATCCATCTTTTCATGACACTCGATCCTTACAATAGTCCATGGCTTTGATAAAAATTATGCACATTAGAAAGGATGAAAACTAAGGTTGGGATAAGTGGACTTTCAAATCACCCAACTACAAACTGATGAAAGTATAACAGGAATCCACTCCCATCTAGTTATCCCTCCTTGGATGCTATAGCTCTCAGTTTATTGGACCAAGACACTCCACATCTCTTACACAGGGATCATCTAAAGCTCACATTGCCTTTCGCTGTGAACGCTAACGCATTTCCAGCTTCATTGGAAGAGAGGTAAAAGGATCATGGGAATAAAGTGAATTTAAAAAGATAATCATTGCAGACAGCCAAGTGGTACCAGACACTGTCACTGTATCCTTCAGGTCAGGGCTCTGTCCTGATATTATGTTTGAGAATATAATTGCTCATGGACACACACAAAGCACACATACATCAATCTCACTTATGTTAACAGAGGTCATTAGGAATACATGACTATTTAAGAAAACCCATGAATGTCATTGCATATAGTAATTGTTTACAGCTGAGGGCCAAATGCTTAATTGTTCCCATGTGCAATAAAATAATTTGATCGTAAATACCTATGGGAGCTTAGGCTGTTGCAGTAACCTCTAACAGAGGACTGACTCTGCAAAGAGTGACATTACAGAGACTTTAAGCTGGAGATAGCAAGAGTGCCGTAAAGTGAATCTGCAAATCAAACAGATACTTTCCAGCTTAAAAATGACAGGTTGTGATGCTAGAAAAATACCTTAAAGGCTTGTATTGTTACTCTTCAGTCAGGAATGGATTTAGTTTATTAATGAATTCAGTCAGTTTATTATTGAATGAAAGTTTTTAAAAGTGCTGAGGAATGAAGGAACTACAGTATTGCCTCATAATAAATACTCAAGAGTTTTCTGGATTGTGTGTGTGTGTGTGTGTGTGTGTGTGTGTGTGTGTGTTGGGTGGAGGGAGAATCCCATGAGCAATTTATGGCTTGCTTCCGTTGGTGTCTTATTTACAATTGTGGTTCTTTCTAGAATTTACTTGCAAAATTTATAACCAGAAACATTTAATCATCAGCATGGAGGATTTATGAAGGTAGAAGGCACTGTATTTAATGTTTACATGACACTGTCTTATTACCTTTACTGCATTCGTACCATGTGGACCCTCCACTTTGATGGCTTTATCATAAATCCATTAAAATGCACAATTTGAGAGTTTCCTCTTCATAAACCTGATTTATAACCACTACTAGAAGAACCCAACAAACCAGTTGGCTGGAATAACATGCTGATATTGGAGGAGGAAAATTTAGGCACCAGTCCCTAGGTCTTGGCAAGTTCAGTAACCTGGTACCTAAAGGTACAGAGCATTCTTTAAAAGCACATGTTTCCAAAA